CTAACCCCAGTAACCCAAATCCTAACCCCAATAACCCTGATCCTAACCCCAGTAACCCTGATCCTAACCCCAGTAACTGTAATCCTAACCCCAATAACCCAAATCCTAACCCCAGTAATCCTGATCCTAACCCCAGTAACTGTAATCCTAACTCCACTAATCCTGATCCTAACCCTAGTAACTCTGATGTCAACCCCAGTAACCTTAATCCTAACCCCAGTAACCCTAATCCTAACCCTAGTAACCTTAATCCTAACTCCACTAATCCTGATCCTAACCCAGTAACCCTGATCCTGACAGGTGTTTATGTAGAAAGGGGTAAATGGTGTAAATTGTGTATATCAGTATAAATGCACCTTGATCAATAAATTTGCGACATTAAAAACTTTTAAAGAAAGCTCAGTTTTCTTTCTCTTCTCTAATTAAGACTTGTTTCTGTGACTCTGAGAGGAAGTGGAGATCAAACATGTCGACTCACGCCATTATAATAAAGCAGCTGTGCTGTGACAGGAAGTGATTCTCCTTCACCAGATGGCTGGGTGACACTTTCAACATGACGAGACGCCACCGCTCGTGGTTTACGGTACATCAGGAGTGTTTCCACGCTGAGCGATGGCTTACACACCTGTCGTCTATGAGTGTGTGTGTGTGTGTATTCCAAAGTGCATGATGGCACTAGAAAGTGGAGCATCTGCTTTTATGCAAATACTGAACAGAAAAGTGTTTAATCTGAGCTGAGCTGGCGGTGTGTTGCAGGAGTAACGCAACGCCACTGTCTGTACCTCTGCCTGTCTCAGTCTAGAACACATTATCTGTTCATTCTGTCTTTATTTAAAATAAAATCTGTTTAACGCCTGACACTGTGCTGCAGCCCTGTTTCTGATCCACAATCCATCATTTAGCTCCTCGAATAGAAAAAATTACACTGTTTAGAGTTGTTCTGGATACCTCTACACTGAGGTTACGCTACAATTTATCAGGATTCAAGTATCAGTGACTGCAGTGATGGAAATAGTGGCCTGAAAAAAACGTTTCTTTTTAATGTAGATGGTTAAATAAATAATTAAAGTGTACAGAATTCATTTGCTGTCATTAATTTCTGACGACTCTGGATAATTTAGTTGTCCTCCTGAGTGTTTTATTCCTCTTATACCACAGCATTTTACCAACGATGTTTTCGGTCTCTCTTTTTTCTCTATCTTGAAGTTAATAAGACAAAAAAAACCGCAGCTTCTCGTGTTACCGAGAAACCG